CCCAGCGTAAAGTTTGCGACAACTCACGCTGGGGCCTCTTACGTTAGGCAGCAGCCTACCCAGGGCCGCTGCCGCTCCCACCAGCTTTGGGGCCAGTCCCTCAAAGTGGGAGTGGAATGTCCACCGCCCATCCAACACGATGCCCAGATATTTCATCCGGGCACCGATCGTCACCCGGACGCCCTCGATTGTGAGGTGGGCACCAGGGGGTGGCCCGCGCCGTGGCCCATGAAACATTAGGGCCTCGGTTTTCTGAGGGGCCACTTCTAGGCCTAAGCCCCTGATGCGGGCCACGATCATCTCGGTGGCCGCCTCCACCCGCAAGTACAGCTCCGGCAGAGCCCTTCCTGTGGCTACGACCAGTGTATCGTCCGCGTAGCAGAGCAGGCTCGTCCCTCTGAGGAGCCTGCACCGCAGCACACTGTCGTAGCCGATATTCCAGAGAGTCGGCCCGAGGGCCGATCCCTGAGGGACTCCGCAGGAGATCGCGTGCCGAACCAGTTCGCCGCTCCCGTCCACGAAGGACACCTCTCGGTCCCGCAGATAGTCCGCCAGCAGCCTGATGAGATAGGCCGGCACTCCGTGGTGGTGGAGTGCCGATACTATCACATCAAAGGGCAGGCTATTAAAGGCGTTGGCGATGTCCAAAGACACCGCCACTGCCCTCTCTCCGCGGGACACGGCCTCCTCCGTTGTTGACTTCAAGGCGGANTACCTATAGACCGCGTCAAGAACCTCGGCCTCAAGCTCCCAGGGGGGGAGTCCGGCCAGCACACAAGCCGCACCGTGTGAAACGGTGCGGTAACCTCTAATGGCCCGCAACGCTATGGTTCGTTGCGGGCGCCGCAGGGCGGCACGGTTCTCCCGATCGAGGGAGCCGACCCAGATTGGGGCTCCGTATAGGGCCATGCTTCGTATAACCCCAGCGTAAAGTTTGCGACAACTCACGCTGGGGCCTCTTACGTTAGGCAGCAGCCTACCCAGGGCCGCTGCCGCTCCCACCAGCTTTGGGGCCAGTCCCTCAAAGTGGGAGTGGAATGTCCACCGCCCATCCAACACGATGCCCAGATATTTCATCTGGGCACCGATCGTCACCCGGACGCCCTCGATTGTGAGGTGGGCACCCGGGGGTGGCCCGCGCCGTGGCCCATGGAACATTAGGGCCTCGGTTTTCTGAGGGGCTACTTTTAGACCTAAGCCCCTGATGCGGGCCACAACCATCTCGGTGGCCGCCTCCACCCGCAAGTACAGCTCCGGCAGAGCCCTTCCTGTGGCTACGACCAGTGTATCGTCCGCATAGCAGAGCAGGCTCGTCCCTCTAAGGAGCCTGCACCGCAGCACACTGTCGTAGCCGATATTCCAGAGAGTCGGCCCGAGGGCCGATCCCTGGGGGACTCCGCAGGAGATCGCATGCCGAACAAGTTCGCCGCTCCCGTCCACGAAAGACACCTCCCGGTCCCGCAGATAGTCCGCCAGCAGCCTGATGAGATAGGCCGGCACTCCGTGGTGGTGGAGTGCCGACACTATCACATCAAAGGGCAGGCTATTAAAGGCGTTGGCGATGTCCAAAGACACCGCCACTGCCCTCTCTCCGCGGGACACGGCCTCCTCCGTTGTTGACTTCAAGGCGGACAAGGCATCGAGAGTAGAGCGTCCCGCCCTGAAGCCAAACTGTCGGTCTGAGAGGTTTGGGCCAACGTCCTCGAGGTGCCTGGTGAGGCGGGAAACCAGGACCCTTTCGAGTACCTTCCCCGCCTCATCAAGCAACACGATGGGTCTGTAGGCGGACGGGGAGTCGGCTGGGCGACCCTCCTTATCCTCCTGAGACCCAGACCCCTAAAAATTGTCGGATTGTCTTGAATTTTGGAAGGCAGGCTAAGTTTCATGTGTACAACTAACAAAAAATGCGAAAAAAAATCTAGCCCCCCTACATACACCAAAATGGGGGGTGTCACCAGTGACACTACGGGTTTCAAAGACATTAAAACGGGCTTGAATTAATTAATATTTTAATTACTTTAGGTATGGTAAAATAGGTGTTTTTAGTTTAGAATCATATAAAATTTACTTTTTAACAGCTTTTATTGAACTTGTTATTACAAACTTTATTTAACTTGCAACAAATGTGTGAATGTATGTTTGAGTAAAATCTTGGAAGCTGAATTAGAGCTACTTCCTGCCAACCGATTGAGCTGAAATTTTGCATAGACATGTAACTTAGATGAAACTTCAATATAATGAGGTCATGGAGCTGATCTGATGATGGAGACGGAAGGTAGCCATAGAAACTTTGTGACTAAACGATGTAACTCTGTCGAGTTTTGACTCATTTGATTGGTATTGACAAGTACTCTGGTCTTGGATGATATCCAGGGTCTGATCTGAGGATGGAGCATCAATTTTTTCATCATCTGTCTCATCTAAGTTGCATAACATTCACATGACGTTACCATCAGACAATCCTAAAAAGGACCATATTTCAAGTCACGAGTGCCCGAAGTGTCACCAGTGACACTCGAATTAATTGACGAAAATACTTATTACAATAGAAACATTTTAATCGTTTTATCGCACAATCTGAGAGATATATTACTGTAGCATACAGAAAACACAAAACAATACCAAAAAACTTGTTTTAAATAATATTTTCTTTTCTTGGAATGTGTCATGTCGGAGGTCACGCGAATTCAAAATTTCAATTAATGTTTACAAAATCAAAAACCCTTTCGTGCGAGGCATAGCAATTTTTTGGATATGTGACATATTCCAACGTTTCACATACTTTTATTAATTTTCATAAATACCAATGAATGGCGCTGTAAAAAAAAAATATACTCAAGTGTCACGAGTGACACCGGGGGTCTCAGGAGGTTGCAGCAGGCACAGGCGGCCCTCTTTCCAAGGCTTCGGGAACTTTCCGGTTCTAAAGCTTATGTCGAACAGTTCCCGAAGCTGGCCCTCATTCTCCTCCACCCGCATGGTCAGGCGAAGGACTTTGCCGGGGATCCCGTCGGGGCCCGGAGCCCTCCTTTTACCATGGAGCCGGTCCAGCGCGGCACCCACTTCCACCTCCGACACAGGTTGAAACGGAGGCTCCGGTCGACTAACCCTGTGCTCCGGAAGGTCTGGGGCAGGTGAGTTCCCTTGCTCGGGGAACAGGTTCCCAATCACCTGTCGGAGAAGGGCCGGCTCCATGGTTTCCGTGACGGGCGCTGTTTGGCTGCGAAGTTTGTTGCGCGCAGCTCGGTATGGGCGCCCCCACGGATCCGCGTCAAGCTCCTCCAACATGGAGTTATGAGCCTCCGCCTTGGCCTCCAAGATGGCGATCCGGAGGACTCTTCTGGACTCCTTGAAGGCGTCGTAGAGTCGGCCTTCTTCCTCCGGGTTGCGGGTTGCGCGGCGGCGGTGGCGAGTGTACGCCCTCCTCGCTGCATTGCTGGTGGTCCGGAGATCCGCTATCTCTTGGGTCCACCAGTAAACTTGCTGTCGGTTCGGCACACAGCGGACTCTCGGCATAGCCGCGTCGCAGACTGCCACCAGCGCTGCGCGAAGTTGGGCGGCACCGGTGTCTGCATCCGGGGGGGGGGGCTCTGCCTTTCGAGCACCAGGCCTGGACAATAGCGGCTTCCTCGGCTTTTTCCCTATCCANCCGAAGCTGACCCTCATTCTCCTCCACCCGCATGGCCAGGCGAAGAACTTTGCCCGGGATCCCGTCGGGGCCCGGGGCCCTCCTTTTACCATGGAGCCGGTCCAGCGCGGCACCCACTTCCACCTCTGACACAGGTTGCACCGGAGGCTCCAGTCGACTAAACCTGTGCCCCGGGAGGTCTGGGGCAGATGAGTTCCCTTGCTCGGGGAACAGGTTCGCAATCACCTGTCGGAGAAGGGCCGGCTCCATGGTTTCCGTGACGGGCGCTGTTTGGCTGCGAAGTTTGTTGCGCGCAGCACGGTATGGGCGCCCCCACGGATCCGCGTCAAGCTCCTCCAGCATGGAGTTATGAGCCTCCGCCTTGGCCTCCAAGATGGCGATCCGAAGGACTCTTCTGGACTCCTTGAAGGCATCGTAGAGTCGGCCTTCTTCCTCCGGGTTGCGGGTTGCGCGGCGGCGGTGGCGAGTGTACGCCCTCCTCGCTGTATTGCTGGTGGTCCGGAGATCCGCTATCTCTTGGGTCCACCAGTAGACTTGCTGTCGGTTCGGCACACAGCGGACTCTCGGCATAGCCGCGTCGCAGACTGCCACCAGCGCTGCGCGAAGTTGGGCGGCACCGGTGTCTGCATCCGGGGGGGGGGCTCTGCTTTTCGAGCACCAGGCCTGGACAATAGCGGCTTCCTCGGCTTTTTCTCTATCCAGCCTGGTGATGGCCCACCTAGGATAGGCCGAGCTATCGGATCGACGGGGAGCGTTGGGGCTCGAGGAGGGGGAGATTTCAAATCGGATATATAAGTGGTCCGAGAGAGTCTCCTCCTCCATTACCCGCCAGTTGACTACACGGCGTGCCGTCGCAGGGGTAGCGAAAGAAACATCCACCCTTGAGTTGCCCTGCGGCCGCACGCACGTGTAATCTGTCCCGGTATTAAGGACCGACAGCCCGACCTCCGTCGCCCAGTCCTCGAGGGCCCTGCCTCGGACGTCGGTGGTGTTCCCGCCCCAAGCCTGCGATTTGGCGTTCAGGTCGCCCATAAGGACAACCTGGTGCGGCGCAAGCCTTTGGACTACCGGCCCCAGAGTGTGCAGGAATGCCTCAAAGTCCGACAGAGGTCGGTTGGGCGAGAAGTACACACCGACGATTCCGTACTCCCCCCAAACAGCCGAGACAAACCCGGGGCCACGCTCCCGCGGTATGAGGGGTTTGGCAGCGGGTCCCGTGCGGCAGACGATGGCCACGTGACCCCCGGAATCTCCTGCCCAATGGGGTTGAGGGGAAACCCAGTAGGGTTCTGCGGCAACCGCAACGTCAATGTTCCACGCTGCTAGGGATTGCAGAAAGAGATCCTGCGCCCCAGCAGCGTGGTTAAGGTTCCCCTGGAGGAGGCAGATTTGGCGACTACCCATCGAGCATGTCTGCCTCCTCGCACTGCTCATGGTGCTCCTCTACCAGGGGGACCAGAGCCCCTGCGGCTGTCTTCCCTCTTGTTTGCGGGGGGTTGCAATTCCTACCCCCCATGTGATGGCTGGCATCGCGGCCGGCTTCAGCGCAAACAGCGCAGCGCGCGTCCTTTGCCGAACATTCGGCGGCCTTGTGCCCCGGATTACCACACCGGAAGCACAGGCCACTGCGGTCAGCCGAAGAAGGGCACAGCTGTCGGGTGTGTCCAAGCCCCATGCACTTAAAACAGCGCATGGGTCGGGCCTCCAAGATTTGGACACGGGCCGAGGTCCACCCAATCAGGAAGCGGCCGGCCTCCGACAGTGCCTTGGCCGCAACAACCGGGCAGCTGAGTGTGGCTATACCCTCTCCACGGGAGCTGCGCCGGATCTCCCCCACTCTGACAGCTTCCAGAGAGCAACCCGTCTTGTTGGCCACTGCTTCGGCGACCTCCTCCCTGGTGACGGACTCGTCCAGGCCAGAGATGCGCACGCCCGCGCGCTTCTCAGGTCTGGTGACAGTCACGTCGCCACCGAGAACCGCCTTCAGTTTGTCCGCCAGCTTGTCGGCCTTTTCTCTGGACTCAGCGCCAGGAACCTCGATAAGACGAGCTCCGGTCGCCGAGTCAGTGACCTTTATGCTGGGGATACCCAGCTCGGACAGGTCCACTGCAGCCTTGGCCTTGGTGAGCACCTCCTTGTAGGTAGACCCCCTCTTTGCCGCCTCTGGCTGCAGCGTCACCACGATGGCCGCGCTGCGGGGAGGGGTCAGTTTCACCCGCTTGGGCTTCGGTTTCGGCGCCGTTGAAGCCGTCCTGGGCGCAGGGACCGGTTGGGAAGCGGCGGCAGTCTTGGGTTTCTTCTTCTTCCCCTTCCGTGTCACGGTGGCCCATGTTTCGGCTGGAGGAGCCGATGAGGGCGCCGTCTGGACCTCTTGGCTGGAAGCTACTGGTTCCGGCTGGGATGGGGGTTGCGGCCTTGTCGGGCGTGTCTTCCTTGGCCCGGGGGCTGGCCTTGGCGCTGGGGTTGGGCCCTCCGTAGGGGCCGGGGGAGTCTTTCTATCGGCCGCGAGCGGGGGGCGGAGGGTCTTCTGGGGCGGCAGACGGCTCTCCAGATCCCCCAATCTGGCGTCGAGGAGTTTAGCCGCCGAGTCGACGGCCCTCTGGCATGCCATCTGCAGCAGCTCTTCGANTGCTCCTCAGCACAGTGCCAAAGCACGGAGTGGGCGTTACTGTCCACGCCGACGATCACGTTCTTACCGCGCAGGGCCTCCATGACGATCTCCATGTGTTCAAGGTGCGGGTCGATGCTGTCGCCGTACTTGAAGTAGGCCGATACCAGATAGGCATCGACCTCCCGCACATGCACGACGAAGCAATCGACCGTGGACAGGTGGTGAAGCGCAGCGACGGTTAGGTCCGGCCGGCAGACGAAGACGCCCGCACGGGAGGTGGGGCCGGTCTGGATGATGAACTGGGACCTCGAGTATTGTTCTTGGGTTAGAACGATGTCGAGTCCCAGCTCGCGCGCCAGCGCCGGCAGCTCCTCCGTGGCAAGCGCCGCGCCCGCCAGGTTAATCTGCCCTACCCGAAGAATCCCGCTAGCGAACGCTATAGTTGGTGGCGGCAACCATGCGGCTCTCGGCGAAGACACGCGCTGGGCACTGCGGAGATGCGGTGGTGTGTCCCTCTGCACCCGGCTTCTTGAAACGGGTGCAGGTAGCGCAACGTGGAGTCTCCACAGTGCATTCGGCGGATCGGTGTTCCGTGCTGCAGCACTTGCCGCAGTACGCTTCAGCGGACCGGCAGTACCGCTCCGGGTGCCCATAAAGCTGGCACTTGGTGCAGCACGTCACGCTCACGTAGTCCTCTACGCGGCAGACGTCCCACACCAAGTAAACTGTCCTCTTCTTGAGGAGACATGCGNCTGAAAAGAACCTAACTTGAAGAAACCCAACTGAACCCACGTCAGCTTCCGTGTTAAATTGTGTCAATGTGATAAAATATACTCAAAATAACAACCTTTTTTTCTATTGTTGATTTAAAGTTTGGGTCTTCAAGTAGCTTTTTAAGTATCAGCTCATTATTTTGCTTTTTCTTTAATATCCAAAATACTTTATTTAAACAAAAACATAAAATATTTTTTTATAATAACACTAAAATTAATAACATAACCTACTAATATTATTATTGATAAGAAGGTTTGTATGAATGCTATCGTCATGTTGGTTGTCTGTCACGTTAAATTTATTGAACCGATTTTAATGAAACTTCCCCCACCCCGGATCCCCCACCGCGCGCCACTGGCACTGCCCGGCGTGTCAGGTTTCAAGTTGTGTGGAAAAATGTATGATGCCTATGAACACAGAGGCCATGACTATAACATGCGGTGCTCGTTTGTCACTGGGCCTCAATTTTAATAATAGTTTCCAGTCGTCTTTGTGGAGCGAATCGTTAATAGTTTGATTTTATTCACTCCCATAATAATAAATTATTAAAATTAAATAAATAGGTAAATAAATAAAATAAAAGGTATTTATTTCAGGCATAGCCCATAAAAGTGTAAATTATAGCCCATAAAATTAAATAACATGAATAGAAATAAGATTCTATCATTGATACAAAAAATACTTCTATGCCTACAAACTATTAACATTTCATAAAGGGCCAGTATTTCATCATCACCATATTTCAACAATATTCCTACCGTTGGTTAGTTGTCTCAAATTTCTGTTGGGACAACTTTTATTTACTGCAGTTATACCAACGTTGTTCAGCCAACAGTAGCAAAAAAGCATAAAGGCCCACTGTTGATAACCAGATCGGCATAGATCATCATATAGTAACGTTAGTGGTCAAGTTCCATGTGGGCGATTTAACTATTTCAACGAAGTCCCACCAATAACCCTACCGTTGTCCAATAAAATTGTGGCCGATCAAAAATGCTACTATAATAGGGAAAGTTATAACTTTTCAAGATACTAAAGTAACCATTGAACCGATTCATGTAGGTACAATAAAATACGATCAATAATAATTATGTATCAACATACAAAAATCAATTTTCCAAATTGATGTAGGCGTCTTCGAGTAATCGGGGAACATACCTAAGTATCTATCTAAAAATATTATGAGATACTTAACTTTATTGAAGTTGGTTAAAAACGGGTAGTAAAAATGTGCAGTCAGTGGCCCTTCCCGAACAGACTTTGGTCAGATAGCACACACTTTGGGTCAGACCCAGATGGAAAGATTACGAATGGCGGTTCGCTCACTCACCACCAATAAGATAACTACACTCACCAGATATTTTCCGTTTAAAGTCAGCCACGCGGTCTTTACGTGCAAGTCGGATCCCAGCTGGAATTGTTCGCACCAAGACACACACGATGGAGCATGGAGATAGTTCACCCACAACGCAACACTTCTCAGACGGAAATATAGTCAAAATATGCAAAATATTATAGGATTTGCAACAACAATTCGAAAGTTGCATCTCGCGGCGAGGACGGCCATCACACTAAAAGTGTCAGCCAATCAGGATTGATTCCCACCAATCTGCCAGTAGGAATGGGCGTTGTTATTGGCTGAGAGAACGAATTAAGTTTTACGAATGTTGGCGGCATAATTTAGAAATAAAGATTTCTTGAATCAACCCAGCTATGTTATTGTCAGGATGCTACTATCTATCCTGGATTATTAGTTCTGATTTTTGCCACGTTCGATAAACAGGGATTATGACATTTACAGGACGGCGATACTATCAACACTGGGTTGTTTTAGTTTTTGATTTTTGTCACTTCGCCTTGACGTTTCAGAATGGAGACATTATTTTACGTTTACTGTAAAAACATTATGTAGATTTGTTACTTTTGAGTTATTCTGTGGTGAAGATTTGTTTTATTTTATTCGGAAAACATATAGTGAAAGATTGATTTATCAGACAAACTTTAATAACAACTATTGATTAGGTACAGCCTTAAAAAATAATACAACACATAGCGTGTGTACATAGTACACAAGATACCTATTATTTATTCGGATACCTAACGGTAACTACCTCCACACAAAAATATTTTAACAAAATTTTTAAACTTACACTTAAATTGTATCACATGTAAGATTTAAAAAGAGTGTATCGTTTATAGAGCTAAAGCAAAATCGTAGAAGTACTCGTAGAAGATTAGATTCTAGCGTTGATCCAGGCGGAGTAGGAGGTGACGCGCGTGAAGCCGGCGGGGAAGCCCAGCCCGCACGCCGCGTCCGTGCCGAACGACGCGATGCCGATCTGACACAATAACAATCAATGTTAACCACGTCTGAAATGCACAGAGGCAGGCAGGGTAGGCAGTGGCAGTCCTTTCGAGGGCAGCGCTTGGCACTTTTCTGATTAGCGGAGTTGACTGAACAGCGGCATGTATTGCGAAAAGCTTTTTCAAACGTAAAAAAGATCAGGGCCATACCATCCCAGACTGCATCCCACTTAACACCAGGTGTGATTGTGGTCAGATACCTGCCTTGTTATGCATAAAAAAAGCCATTGTAGTGGCTCGTTCACGTTCCTGAGTTACTGACCAGGGTGCGGTCGGCGCCGGCGCCGATGACGAGCGGGCCGCCCGAGTCGCCGGCGCACACGCTCATGCCGCCGGCGCTGCTGGTGCACAGCACGCCGTTGCCCACCAGCGACGCCGCCCACACGTTGCGGCACGTCAGGTTCGCGATCACCTGCAGCATCACCTGTCTCTTGTCGAAGCTCTGAGCGATGGTCGGATCTGTAATATTAACATGTGAATGCGACTGGTAGTTTCAGAAATGTAAGAAATCAAAATAATATTTTCTATACATCTAAATGCAAGTATACACATCTAAACGCATTAAAATAAATTGGATTAGGGATACGGAGATAAATTATGTTACAAGGGTCTCCGTGTGAATAAGTTGCTGTAGTGTAGTGTAGGTATTGTAGTATAGTGTAGTGTAGGTATTGTAGTATAGTGTAGTGTGTCACATAATCACATACCGTTGGTGGTGCGTCCGAAGCCGACGGCTACCGCCCAAGTGTCGACGTACTGTAGCGTGCCGGTGGGAACTAAGATCCGATTGATATAGTCTGTAAAAACAGGCAAAAACTGACAGTATCTAGGAAAAGTATACAGTATAAATCAAAATAATAATGTACACATATACAAAATGTAGTCCCATTTGCTGACCATTGTATTCGACGTAAGGGTGAGTGATGATGGCAATGTCGTTGGCGTAGGTGAGAGGGTTGAAGCTGGCGTGCATCTCGACGTCGCTGGTGAGCAGGCGCAGCCCGCCCACGGTGAGGCTGTCGGCGCCGTACACGACGGTGAAGTGGCGCGCCTGCGCGCGGCCGTCCCACCAGCAGTGCGCCGCCGTAGCCGCGCGCGTGTGGCTCAGCATGGCCGCGCCGCACATCGACGTGCGCCCGTCCACCAGGTGGATCACGAGCCCGGCCTGCCACATACTGTTTGTGAGGACTACTTCGCGAGGTAGGTACCTGTCTCAACTGAGCGTCTAAGATATATCCCTCAACCCTCGCTGGCTACGTCGGATTCACACATGGGACTCACCATGTAGGGGTGTGTTCCTCTAGGGACTTGGATCCCCAGAGAAATGCGGCTGTCTCTCAGAGCTTGCTCCTGCGCGTGGATGCGCGCCATGGCCGGGATGCCCTCGGCCTCGTGGTAGTAGGCCTGGGGCGCGCGCCCCGCCAGCGCCGCCGCGCACGCCGTCAGCAGCAGGAACGACTTCAGTGCGGCCATGGTCAACAGCTACAGATAACTCTTCCAAACAGAAAAGTTTATTTATATGAATGCACGGTGAATACCCGCTATTATCTTATCCGGAAATATTGTATCTATACCAATTAATAAATGATTGATCATATCATTAAATAAAGGACGTTGATCTGGCCCTTAGCATAGCTTGCAGATATTTATATCTTGATAGTTAGAATTGAGGTCGTGGTCGCTGCGTCCTTGAATGGGATCCAGATTGCTTTATGTCACCAAATATACCAACGTAATATTTTTACTAGCTTTTGCCCGCGGCTTCACCCGCGTGAAATTAAGTTTGAATTTAAAAAATATTGTTATTACAAGGTTATTGTTTGACATAACCCGACGGATTAGCAAGCTGAAGTGGCAATGGGACAGGGCACATAGTAAGTGAAGTGAATCTTTAGGCGGTCATGCAAATCATCAATGTGCGTCACCGTATACATTTCAGACGCTCTTTCTTTCTTTCACGACGGTTGGAGGGAGTCGAATGAATCAAAAAGTTTAACAATAAATAAATGTATGTAAATTAAAGCTTGTCGCAAGATTTTCTTCATAGTAGGTTTGTACAGTACATTACCTACTCATTAAAATAATATACACATTATATTGATTACCACCGAATAAATGATTGTTATTATTTTTGGCTAAATTATATTATTTTTACTCGAAGTCGCTAATATCTTCGCAGAGTTGGAGTCGTCTGTCGTATGTCTGTTGAGAATGAATGAAAGAAGAATAGATTTCTTGTTCGTGCTTGCAACACACATAATGTTCGATACAGCCACATTGATATATTCAATTGTTCTCTGCGTGTTTTTACTTCACATGTTAAGAAGGTTGACCACGTTTAAGTGGGATTATCTTGTTTCTGATGAACGAAATTACCTAGTTAAATTACTACGAAACTTTTTATAATATGTCTTCGCTATTGACAAATTAACATTGGAAACTTTTTTGGCTTATGAATAAACTAAACTTTTTCCTGTACCTTTAAGTAATATAAAAGCTGTATGTTTCTTTCATT